AGGAGAGAAAGAAAGAAAGAAAGAAAGAAAGAAAGAAAGAAAGAGAAAGAAAGAAACTCTAGAGTATCTATACAGCCTTCTGTAAACTTTAACTAGGCATCTAAAAGTTTCACCAAATACAAAACTGGACCAGGAAAGCTGCAACTGCAAGCCTGTATAGAGTGACTTTGGAAAGGGTAAGAGCTCTTTATAGCCAGCAGCCAGAAGTCAGTCACTGCCAGTTGGTTAGAAAGGCAGGGCTGATAAAGGTCTTCAGATCCTGGTTTCCAAACTGGGCCAAAAAGTGACCTTTTGGGGGAACATCTGGCTGTCCTATCTTTATGTTCTAATTTCAGAAGTAGGTGCTCTCCCCGATGGAATAGCTAGTGATCACAGCCAAAGGAGGTTTGCTTTTCCTCAAAAGGAAATGGGTTTCTCTCAGGATCGTTGATGTTGATGTCCTCATTATAAAGCAGCATGCAATCACCACAGACCAAACAGGGAAGCTTTTGAATCTTACAAGACAGGGGGTTTAGATACCTGGAATAGAAGCAGTTGTAACTAATATGAAACCAATACTCAGAGGAGGGAGTGGACAATCCCATCACTCATCTGTGCCTTTGAGTGACATTAAGATGAGCATGTTGGGATGGCCTGTTCCTACCTTACTCTCCTGGTATGAGCATCAGTCAAACCTATATCATATCTTGTCAACTCCAAGAGCCATGCTGTATTAAACTACTCTCATTCACCTTGGGCCCCCACGCACAAGGTAACTACTCCACCAAGCACACCACTGAACACTAGTTAGTCGGTCAAGGCATGGCACTTCTGATTCCAAGTAGGTGCCTGCCAAAGGGCCTTTTACAGAAATTTTTGAGCTGTATAGCTTTACTTTACATGCCAACCTCAGACTCCAGCCCTGGATTTAGGCTGCAATATCACTGTGTCTACTCTGCCTCTTAGCTTATAAGCTCTGTGGCTGACTCCATCTTTGTGATACCTCAGTGGGGCAGCTGGTGTGCAGGGGGTTGGAGCACAAGCCTGAACCTCACTGTTGTCAGGCTGAATAATGAACCTTGGTTCTCAAGTACTTTTGGGTCAACTCCTAGATGTTCTGGGCTTAGAGTACTCAGGGAAAAGACCAACATGGCCATGCCTCTGGTCTCTCTAATCACAAACATAGAAACAGGATTTTAAAAAAGAGATGCACAAAATAATTTAAAAGATCCCTCTACTTCCAAACACATACATGTTCACACACATACAATCTCTCTGTATAAATAAATAAATAAATAAATACTGCTAATGGTAAGAAAGACAGTGCATCACATAAATAATAAATAAATAAAATAAATAAAAAGTTTGCTAGGAGCCCCAGGCAAAATGGTCCCCTACAGTGGTTTGAATGAAGAGCCTGCATCTGCATGGGAGGCCCCCTTGCGTCTCACAAGCTGTCCTGCTGAGGAGGCTTGGTGGCTCCTGGAAGCCTTTTTCTCCATGAGGGAGATGAGGCCAGGTTGGCTTCCTGGGTGGAATGAGGGTTATTTACAGTTGCTGTACATGCCCTCCTAGGGCAGTTAGCCCCATGCCAGGCACCTGCCATCTGGCCTTCTGTGGTGACAGCATAGTCTCATAGACTCATACCATGAGTCTTGGTGGGCGGGGCTTTGTTTTGGGCCAGAAGCCATTGGTGGGAAGGCCAGGGCAGCTACTGCCTCTTGCCTGATGAATGAAGATCATTCATGATGCTCACCTGCCCCCTGGGCTAATAGGATGGGAAAGAGTGGCACGGAGAGATCCCTGCTTCTAAGATGGGATTTTTCCCCCAAATGTTTTCCTTGGGGAGAGAGGGATAAACAATGTCCTTGCCTCTACAGAGCTTCTGGGAAAAAGCCTCTTTCTCTCCATGTGCTGGCCTGCTCAGCTGTTGCCACCACAGACGTGACACCCACAAGGCTCCGGAAAGCCAGGCAGCTGGTGAGGGGATACCCAAGCGTTTATTTTAAGGACCGTCTCCCTCTCCTGTCCGTTCCCAGTGTCTTCTGCCGACAAAGTATCATCTGGTGGTATTTGTGTGTCAGAGGACAGCTTGCCCTTGACACCCAGCCCTGGGCAGAGGGAAGGTAGGGTGAGGGCAGAAATAAAGGCTGGTTTTTCCTAAGCTGACAAGAAACTCAGAAACTTGCAGGAGCAGGAGAAAGGGAATACTTATTTCCTCACCCACAGGCTCTGTACAGGGGTCTTTTCACATAACCATGAGCTACTGAGCCTCTGCTTGGCAAATTCCTGAGAGGAAAGGAGGGCAGTCCAGTGTAAAGGGAGGGAGGGTGGGTGCCAGGCCACCCTGGGTAGAATCCAGGGTGTGGCAGTCTGGGCAGTGGGGAGGGGGCAGGTAGGCGCCAACCGGAGAGCAAGGGCAGACTGGCTGGCACTGCGGACTGGCTGTTGGCCATGGCACTGGGGCCTGTTCAGCAGATGGTCCCGTGGAATTAAACTGGTGCCAGCTACTGGGGCTGAGGCAAATTTGGGAAGGAAGGCTGAAGCTCCAGCTGTACTAACTGTTCCACTGTCCCCACTGTCTCCTTCCCTGTGGGGTCACAGGGCCCTTGTGTACAGTATTTTGTAAAAGCCATATATGGGCGTTATGAAGCTGGAGTCTCCCAGGCTCCCTTCCCTAACTGCACAGATACTGGGGGCGGGGGAGCACTGCCTTTTTACTCCTATGAGGACCCACCTCCAATCTTTCCCAGACACCTACCACCAGCTCTAGCATTCACCTTCTCTTGTCTAACCTCTCTTCAACGGGACTCAGGAGCTACTCAGCCTTTGCCTATCTGAGGAGGTAAAAGTTCTGACCTCTTATCTTAGACTTCAACCACCCTTGGTCTCCTCTCTGACCTCTTCCCAACACTGGGGTCCATAAAGGTACAGCCATGAAATTGAACGGAGAATGAGGGTAAGTGGCATGAATTAACCTTGGCTTTCAGTTCACATCCTGTGAACAGGTGGTGAGCAGAGCAGAGCTGTCTCCAGATGTCTTAGCCAGGCTCAAACTTTTGAGACGTGGAGCATTGCTTTTCACCAAACCTTGAGGTGTCTTCTGCTGAAGAGAAGGTGGCTCTCCATCCGCCCCAGGATAGTGCTGGTAGAGGCTCCTAGCAACTCCTCCCCAAGAAAGTGAAAAGAACAGGGGCCAGGAACCCTTCAAGTCTGTCTCCAGGGAGAAAATGGGGAGGGTCAGTAGTAAGGAAGGTTGACCGAGTACAGAGGGTCCTCGTGGTGGGCAGTGGCTCAAAGGAAGGCCTTTGTCTAGCGCCTTGTGCTGGCATAGCTTTCTGTTGAGCTGTAGCTCCGACTCCGACTCCCACTGCGGCTCCGAGAGCCCAGGCTGGGGCTGCGGGAGCTGGAGCTGCTGCTACTGCGGGTCCGGCTTCTGCTCCGGCTCCGGCTCCTGCTGGGACTCAGGCCCCGGGAGTAGCTACGGCTGGCAGAGCGGCTGCTGCTGCTGCTGTGCCAGGAAGAGGTGCTGCTGAGGCTGCTGGATGAGGAGGGGCTGGGTCTGTAGTAGGGGATGGGGCGTTTCCGGGCACTGCGGAGACCAAAGAGGAGGCATGAGGCCAGCCTCAACCCAGGGAGTGCCAGTCCTATCCCCAGGGAAAGCCATGCCCTTCCATTCCCCAGTCCCTTCAAAGCAAAATTATCCACAACTCCCAACAAAACCACAAAGTCCTGTCTGTACTTCTCTGGTAATTCTGAGAACATCAAAGAGAACTCTGACTTTGTATTGACATAGCTTGAACACTGATAATGTCACTTAAAAAAAATTAACAAAGGAGGCCTGGGCTTAGAGTCCAGCATCCACACTTTAAATGGCATTTTGTTTTGCTATTTTTAAAAACTTGTACTAGAAACTTCCATTTCTAGAGGGTTCTATTTCTAGGCAGGAGAGGCTGATTTTCCATTTACTGTATCAAGTTCTTTTTGAAATATGTGTAGAGGGGTTCTGAAAAAGGGCACATCCATTTAAAGAAAATGTATACCTTCTATCAGTTAATCAGTAGCAAAGGTGAACGTGAGAAAGATACTGATAGATGACCGGATGTCAGGAAGAGTTCTACAGAATAGCTGAGAAGGGGACACCATTTATCATCTTGCCTGGGCTCCCTGTCCTTACTCTGCCTCCTTGCCCTCTCCAGGAAGACTACGTTGGACCTCCAGGATCCCTGCTCCCCTGTGGGTCCCTGGGGTGAGTGGTGATGCTTGGAAAGATATCTCAGTTTGGGGGCAATGATTTGCCCTTCTCCCAGCCTTCAAGACCTGAGGAATTCATTGCTCCTGAGAGAGTCAGATCTCTCTGCCACAGCTTTTTTCTCCAGAGACCTTAGCTATTACAGGTCACCTGGTCTACCTATTCTGACCATTCAGTCAATAACAGTGGCACATAGTGTCCACATTAAGTTTACAAAGCAAGTTCACATCTTTGTGTCCCCTTTCATCTTGTCCACATGAAACTCCTGGGAATTAATGTCTTCTGATGTTTCATGAGTGAGAAACAGCCTTAGGGAGGTGAAGAGACATTTCAGTTTCCCTGGGAAGCAGCATAATCAGGTTTTAACTCCAAATCCAGTGATATCCCCTTTACCCACCACGGCTCCATTTAAGCCCCTGGGCACTGGATTAATCTTATTTGCCCTTTCTCTACTTGGTTCAAGGTAGAATCACAGACAAGTCTGTTTTAAGCTGCTGTCTGAGCAGGCTGTCTAAGGTAAATGACTATCCCCTCTGCACCAGGGCTTTACCACCAGGCCAATGACCTCGCCCTGTGGTGGCCTGAGGCCCCATTCCTGACCTGCTTTCTTCTTTTGCCTCTATCCCACTCCTCTTAGCTCATTAATTCCAGCTGGGGCCCCAGTCTCTAGGACACCTCCTAGGCCACACCCTAGTCCTCATATTGGTCTCAGGTCTCTATCCTGCCCACACACAATAGGCCCAGCCAAGGTCCCTGCCCACCTTCAGGCTGGCCCAGTTGGAGGCTTGATGTGACTCACCTCTAGGGAAGGCTTTGAACCAAAATCATCCTGTTAGGGTTTGGAAAGGGCATTCTTGAGCCCCCATAATCCTGCAGTCTCAACCCCAGAGAGACTTGAGGAGTGTCCAAGGCTCGAATGGGAGTGCTTGGGAGTGGAAGGAGGGTGAAGGTGGGCACATGTGCGGTGCTCTAGGCCTTACCTTGTTATCCTCCTGGCCTCCAGGTGGCTCGGGGAGTCTCTCCTGCGCTTCCTCATGGGAGAGTAGGACCTACGCCTCCCGCGTGTTCGCTCCCGCTCCCGAGGCTGTGATTCCTTCTCATTGTACTTGGGGTCCCGCTCCCTGAAGGGGTGCAGTGGCAGGGTGGGGGTTACTAGGCAGCTGTGATTGGGCTGGCTTTTCTGTGTGAGCCTGTCAGACTCTTACCTGTCCCTGTCACCCCTGGAGTCTGCAGGGGCCCCAAGGAAGGCAGAGAAGAAAAGATGATCGGTGGTGGGAGGAATCCGCTTGAGTGAGCACGGTGGAATAAGTTGGGCGTGCGCAAGAGTGGCAGCCTTTGAGGGGTAGTACATTGCAGAGGCGCAGGCATTAAAGGGTGAGGAGGTGCATGTCAAAAGGGCCCGGGGTGTGGCTAAGTGGGAGGGGTGAAAAGTAGCAACAAGTGAGCCAGGAGGCCGTGCATTGGGATGTGCAAGGACATTAGGAGAAAGGGTGTATTTGGGCCTTGTTGCCACTCTTGCTTAGACAAAAAGAATTGCAAGAACTACACATCCCTACCGCTGCAGTGAAAACAGCCGGGTCTGGGAGATTGGCACTCAGAGGTGGGGTCAGAAATGGGGAATTTTGCAAAGAGGCGTGGCCTAGGAGGCGGGACCTATCCTGGGGGTGGAGCCCATACCTGCTGGGGCTGTAGCGAGAGTAGCTAGGACTGCGACGGGATCGAGAGCTTCTGCTAGGCGGGCTCCTTTTGCCAGACTTGGAAGAATAGCTGGGAGAGCGGGAGTAGGACCTGTGGAGGAGGTAGTAGACCCTAAGGAGCCTGCTGGATGGGTGCAGACGGCTAACGCTCTGTTCCTTTGGTCCCCAGGTGGTGCCCTTTTTCTTTCCTCAAGCCTAATAATGGAATCCGCCCCTTAACCAGAGAATAAAACCCCCTTCTCTTTGGGGGGATTAATAGTACTATGGACAGCTTCCTGCTATTGAGTACTAATTATACTGACTTCTTTTTATCTATGTGGTCTTGGGCAGGTGATTTTACTTCTCTAGGTTTCTGTTTTCTCATCTGTAAAATGATGTAATAGTAGTAGTAATCCTATAACGTTGTAAATCAAATGGATCAATTTGAGTACATCACTTTGCCGGCACACTGGAAACGTTAACTATGACTATTGTGCACTTTATTGGGTGCCAGGCATTGAACTGATACTTCTTTCGTTACCTCACTTAATACTCAACATATCCTAAGGATAAGTACTACTGTTCATATCATCTCATAGGTGGAGAAACAAAGGCACAGAGAGGTGGCATAATTTGATCAGGATCACACAGCTGGTCTACACACAAATCCAAGTGTATCTGCCTACAAAGTTCTCTTGACTTCTGTAGATTATGGCAGCTACCTCTTCCACCCACCCATGGTTTTGCTTCTTCGTGGTTTCATTTATCATGGTCATCCATAGACTGAAAATATTAAAAAGTGGGAAATTCCAGAGATAAGAAATTCATAAGTTTTACATGACACTCCATTCTAAGTAGTATGTTTAGAACTCTTGCTGTCCTGTTCCATCCTACCCAGGAAATGGATCTCCCTTTGTTTAGGATATCCATGCTGTGTGTGCTACTTGCCTGTGAGTCACTGTGGACTTCTCACTATCAGATCCATCACCACAGTATTGTGCTTATGTGCAAATAAATCCCACTTACTTAAAAACAGCCCACAAGCATAAGAGTAATAAGGCTGGCAACTCAAACATGTGGGAAAGGAACTATAAAGTGCTTCCACTAAGTGAGAGACTAAGCACTCTAATTCAATAATAATAATAAAAAAATCCGATGTTGAGTATGCTATGATTTGGTAAGAATGCATGTCTCCCTGAAGCTGTGAAAAAAGGAGGAAGGGGTTCATGCTGGTTTTACTGCCACACTTCAAGCTTAAAAAGTTCCCATCGCAGTGCAACACAGGTGCTTAGTTATGAAGGAAGATGGATGATGTCATTAAAAGATTTAGTGCTACCTGTGGTTGCAGGCATCCCTTGGGGATCTTGGAATGTATCCCCTGTGGATAAGGAGGAAGACGCTACTTTTTATGATGTATCTGAACTACTAGTCCTGATGTTCATGCCTAGTCTTCCTTCACTGCCAATGACTCCCAGTTTTAGAGAACATTATGGGGAAGGAATAGCTTATACAGTCTCAATGCCCTGAGTCTATATTCAGCCAAGGCTCCTGGAAAAGTGGTGTTCTGCCAATTTGTTCTTTAAGTGTGCATTGGGAAATCTTATAAGAAAGAGTTAAGAGCTATTCTTGAAATGAAAAAAAAAAAAAACTAAGTAAGCAACCATGTTATGATCATATGGTTGTAGAAGAGGACTAGTCAGCCTGCTGTTGGGAATTTTTGTTTGAAGAGAGAAGCTGGACTCAAGGAGGCGGTGGGTTGGTTAGACTAGATGGGCTATTCTGATTCCTGAGATCTCATGTCTGTACATTCATCTATCATTATTTCATATAAGATAACCAAACAGTTACCAATGGTTATTAAAATTGGGGGTTGTAATACAAAGCAGCTGTAATTTTTTTCCCTTTACCTTGTATAACCCCTGAAATATAACTTTGCAGCTCCTCCTACTAAGAAGAGGAATGGTCTTTTGGAATGGTCTTCTGACTTACTAAAGCCAACAGAGTAGTAGAAGGGATGCCATGTCACTTCTAAGCTGAGGACTAAGGAAGCCTTGTACACTACTGTTTTCAGAGATGACTAATCATTGGATGGCTTTAATTCCCAGTCCCCAGACAACCTACCATTGGATCAAAAACACACAAGGGAGCCTAGGGAGAGCAGAAGAACCACCAGCCTGCTGAGCCCAGCCCAAGTCACTGATCCACAGAATCACTGCAACTAAGCAAACGCATTTTGTTTTAAAGGTGCTAAGTTAAAGGATACTTTTTAGTTGTTAGCCTTAGCCTTTAATGGCTGTGCTATCCCTCCAGCCTAGGATACTTTTTATACAGCAGAAGTTAATTGATACTCATGATCTCATCCCCATGCCAACAACAGTAATGACTATTCATTATGTTCTAAGTGTAGGTCTAAGTGCTTTCGTCTTATGGATGATACATTGGGCCATTGAGCAACAAGTCCTTATTCTTTTTTATTTTTCAGACAGGGAAACTAGAACTCAGAGAGGTTAACTGAGTTTCCCAAGACCATCAGTAGTAATGGATGGAACAGGTCAAAGTCAAGTCTGACTCCTCTTCCCTATGGGTGGGGAAGACAGGTGTCTCCGTTTACCATAAACTCTCTGCTAAAGAGAGACATACAGCAGAGGAAGAACAAAGACACTTACCTTTTTTCAGAGGAGGTGGACCGGCTTCGGGTGTACCTGGGGGAGGCCCTAGGGTTTGGGGAGTGGGAAGAGTGACTGGAGGATCGAGTGCTGGTGTAGGAGGAGCTCCTGGAGCACTCTTTCATTGGGGAGCTCTGGGCTGTGGATGGGACCCAACTAGACTTCTTCACCTCAGCACATTCCAGACATGGCGATTGAAATCTTCTGCAGGAGGAAGAACATCTGTTACCACCCAACTGCCCCCTACACTGGGGGCACCTGGACTTGATACTCTGCCACCTTCACCTAGGATGAAGTGTTTTCCCCAAACCCCCCTTCCTTCCCCTTTCTGGGAAGAATTGCCTGCTGACAGAAGTTGGAAGAGCAGAGATAGAAAAGATCCTACAAGTAGATGGACAGCCCAGTTCAGCATCCCCCAGGTGTGGGACACATACCACATCACAGGGGCCACTTTAGAGCATTCCAGAGGTCACTATGGGCACAATGGTAAATAAATTGAATCATATGGTGAGAGATCCAGCCCCACCCCCTTTCTGGTCCTTGTCAGACTTCTGATTACATTAATGAGAAAGCCCTGGCTGGATGCTCCTGGGCTTTTAACACCTCTCTAACACTTTGTAATCTCCCAAAGATAAAGGAGCAGGTCTTGGACTCAGCCTTGAGCTGTAACTAACCAAAATTAAATACACTATTTTAATCATTTGCATTTTCACAGGTGCCTTCTATTTAAGATCAGAGCTACTAATTTTCCTTTTCAGAAAGCACAAGACATTTCCTTATAGAACATGTGAGTTGATTACAATAAACAAACTAGTGCATGGATATAGTAAAAATCAAGAAGGTGGCCTTTGCTTTGGTTAAGTCTGAGCAACTTTGATGTAGCCCTTTTTCAGATGGAGGAATTGAGACACCCCCTCCCACCCAGTAGGGATCGGAACTTGCTCATGATCAGCCAGAGGACAAGAATCTTTGTTTTGCATTCTCATCCTGTCTAGGGCCATCTGAGCTCTTTTGGGGTTCCTTGTAAAGACATGTTCATTTGGATCAGGCCAAGAGTCAAGTTCAAATTACATTAATATGGAGTTCAATATTCATTATGGCTTGGCCCCTGCTCACCTCTCTAGTCTTGACTCTTGACCACAGCTCTAAAAGGCCTTTCCTTTTCTCTCAAATAGAACATCCCAATTCCATCTCTTGTCTCCAGGCTTTAGAACATGTGGGCATCTGTATCCCTTTTCTCTCTCCTCACCACCTGGCCACTCCTACCCATGGTTATGGCTTAACTTGTCCCCACTTTTTTTTTTTTATAAGAAGTCTTTCCAGACAGTCTCTTTACCTCCACTTTGGGTTGGGGGCTTCTCTGTGTGTTGTCATACACTTTCCTGCCTGAGTTCCCCAACATGTTGGTTGGATTTTTTGAGATAAGGTCTCACTATGTAGCCCCAGCTGGCATGGAATTTGATATGTAGACCATTCCAGGCTGGCCTTGATCTCACAGTGAGATTTGCCCACCTTGGCCTCCAAAGCGCTGAGTGCTGAGATTAAAGGCGTGTGTACCACTATACCCAGCTACATAGCACTTTTTTTTTTTTTTTTTTTTTTTTTTTTTTTTTTTTTTTTTTAACCCACTTAAATTTTTTTTTTTTTTTTTTTTTTTTTTTTTTTTTTTTTTGTCTTTTTGAGACACGGTCTCCTGTAGCCCCAGCTGTCCTGGAATTCATTATGTTGACCAGGCTGGCCTCGAACTCACAAAGATATGCCTGCCTCTGCCTCCCAAGAGATAGGATTAGAGGCGTGCACCACCACACCAAGCTACTAGCACTTTTTATCTCACAATTGTATGTGTCTTCTTCCCTGGACGCTGAATTCACTGGGGAAAGGACACATGCCCTTTGGACACTGTATCCCATGCACGTGGTCTGATACACATTATCCCAAGTCATCCATACATAGCTGTGGGATGAATAGTTTGAATCTCTCTATGTTCTGGGCATTTCATAAGTTTCATTTCCCTGAACTTCAATAAATTATGAATCTGGTTCTATCATTATGGCCAATTTACAGAGAAGGTTCAGAAGGGCTAGTTACTTGCTTAAGGTCACCCAGAATCCCAAACTTTAATCTGTCCAGCCTCAAACCCATGTCTCTTTCACCTCTCAAATTCCTTGCCTGTGGTATCTGAGGTCCCCTTGATTTACAGCTCATGTCTCTCCCACTTAGCCCATATTTATTGATCCCTCTGTCCATAGCTGGCAGAACATAAATGCCCATGGAGTTCACCATCATTTACATTTCAAAGTGGAAGACAGTTCTAAGTTATTTAGTTTGTCTGTCCATGTAGATCAAACTAAGCAGGTAATGGCTCTATATCTCTTGGACTTGAGATCTAGTTTTAGAAAGAGGTCTGTATTTGAATGCTGATATGGCTACTTATTAACTGAATTTTTTTTAATGAGCTGGTGCTTCAGTTGTCCCATCAGTTTACAAAAAAGTTGTAAAAGGGCCCATCCTGTAAAGGTGTTAATAGGAACTGAGGACAGTTATTCATGAGAAGCATTTTAATAGTCTCTAGCATGTTGTCTGGCTTAGTAAACATGAATGATCACTTTTTTCATTGTTATTACTGCTGATTTTCTCTCTATCTCTCTTTTTCCCCCCTGAATCACAGCACTGTAGTGTGTTAGTAGACATGTGGCCTCCCTCTCCCATCTGGGAACCTCACTGCCTGTTCTGAGAGGCTGACATTTGCACTGACCCAACTCTGGCTTGCAGCCAAACTTGGGTGTGAGCTCAGGACAGGGATGTCCCAAAGCAGGCAAACAGAGGCCAGGGCTACATGTAGATGCCAAGCTGTTTGACCAGGGCTGAGGCCGGGTATGTGTTGGAGACAAAGGGTGCTCTGTCCTTGAAGAAGCTGTTAACTGCTTCAGTGCTTGGGCTCTGTGTGGCTGTATTTTGGAAATCTTGGGCACTTGGAACAAAAGCAGACTTGCATCTCAGCAAGAGGAAAACCCCTGGTAAAGCCTTTCCACTGTGCATCTGCCCAGCAAATTATGAATGCTTCAGAAGATGGACCATGACATTTTTATACCCCCAGTACCAAGATGAGTGCTGACACAGAGACTGTGTCTGGTCAGAAATCCAGGGGTAAGTAATGGATGGTGCAGTCTAAGTGGCCAGGATTTTTTTCCTTCTTAAAATTTTTAATTACATTTTTGTGATTCATATACAATATATTTTGATGGCAGTTAGATCCCCTCCCCTATCCACAGAGCCCCTTATTGCCTCCTGACCAATATAATGTAGTCTATTATATATATATGCATGCATGTATATTATATAAGGCCTACAGAGTCTAATTAGTGTCCCAAAATGTCCTTCAGTGTGGGTCCATCCATGGGAACTTGGCTAACCAAGAGCCCCATCCTTGAAACAGTCTGTTGCTGCCCCTCCCAGCAGTCATCAGTCACTATGATTTCCTTAGGATGACCTTTAGAAAAAGTCATATGGAAACCTACCACTATAGAAGCCTCTTAAAGTATATACATATACATTATAAAAAGAGATTAAAAGGAGCTACCCTGTAACAGTGGGACATTGCCTCTTCTAGACATCATAGGCTGAGGAAATTACAAACAAACCAAAAAAACAAAAACAAACACCCTGGTGGCCAGTGAATTTTAACAGCCATTCTATGAGAGTGCTCTTAGTGGCTAGCATTTTGCTGTGGTTTCTTTTTTTTCCAAATTCTTTTCATGTATACATGAGTGTGTGGTATGTGTGAATGTGTATATGCATGTGGTTGTATGTTTCTGTTTGAGTACAAGCAGGCTTGCACATGTGGAGGTCCCAGGCTGATGTCAAGGATCTTCCCCAGTCGCTCATCATCTTATTCTTTGAGGCAGAGCCTCTCAAACCTCGAGCTTATCCATAAGGCTAGTCTTGCTAGCCAGCTTGTTCTGGGCATCCCTGTCTCTGCCTTCTGAGGCTAGAATTACAAGTGGGCCACCACTCCTACCTGGAGTGTTTACATTGCTTACTTAGCAAGCACATCAACCACTGAGCTGTCTCCTCAGCCCCCATTTGAGGTGATTTCTTTGAGTAAGAGGGTATGTTGGTGATGAAATGATGGAATTGCAATAGGCTCATAAGCAAATGTATTTTATGTTTCCTGAAGTAAAAATACACGTAGTAAGCCTGGAACTGAACAACAACAACAAAAAGCCTTTCACTAAAATTGTGCTGTGATATCTATGTGTTTTTCATGAATGGACTTTATTTTTAGAGCATAATTTCACAGTATAGCTAAGTAGAAAGCAGCAGGGAATTTCTGTGTGCTCCTGCCCTCCAGTCCCTCATTCTCCAGAGCCAGCATCCCTTTCCAGAGTGGTACCTGTGTTAGTACTGACGAACCAACACCTCACATCCTCACCCTAAGCCCACAGCTTCTGTTAGGGTCGACTCAGTGTCATACCCTCTAAGACAAATGCATCCATCACTGTTGTGTCATATAGTATAATTTCATAGCCCTAAGTATCCTCTGTGCTTGTGGTGGTGAGACATTTGAATGAGAAATGTCCTCCATTGGCTCAAGTATTTGAATACTTGATGTATGATCCCTGGTTGTTGGTGCTTCTTGGGGAAGGTCATGGAAGCTTTTGGAGGTGTGACCTTGCTGGAGGAAGTACATCATTAGGGGTGGGCTTTGAGAGTTCACAGCCTTGCTGTAATTCCAGCTTGCCATCTCTTTACTTTGTGTGTGAATGTTTGAAGATGTGAAATCTCTACTTTTTGCTCTGGCCACCTCTTGCCACCATGCCCCACCACCATGGACTCTCCCTCTGGAACCATAAGTGCAATAGCCTTCTATAAGTTGCCTTGGTCATGGTCTTTTATCACAGCAACAGAAATGTAACTAACACAGTGCTCTGTTCTGTCATCCTCCTTCCCTCAGCCCCTGGCAACCATTCAACTTTTCAGTTTCTCCATCATTTTTTCTTTTCCATGACTTCATACAACTGTAGTCATGCAGTGAGCAGCATTTTCACACAGTAGTATGTATTTAAGATTTCACCATGTCTTTTTAATGATGTGATAGCACATTCCTTTTTAATATTTTATTTATTATTTTTTATTTTTAATGTGTATGAGTGTTTTGCTGGCATATATGTAAGTGTACCCATGTCCTACAATGCCCGCAAAGGTCAGAAGAGGTCGAATTCCCCTGGAACTAGCACTATGGATAGTTGTTAGCCACCATGAAGGTGCTGGGAAGCAAACCTGGGTCCTCTGCAAGAGCAGCCAATGCTCTTAACCCCTGAGCCATCTCTCCAACCCCAATAGCATATTCTTTTTCAATGCTGACTAATATTCTACTGTCTCTTATATCATAGCTTTATCTATTCACCTGGAGATTTCTTGGTTGCTTTCAATTTTGGCAATTATGGATAAAGCTGCTATAAACATATATACGCAGATTTTCTTTTTGGTGTGGGTATCTTTTCACATTATTTGGGTAAATAACATGGTATGTTTTGAAGTGACAGTGACTTAAATAAAATTAATGCTACACTTCCCTTGAGATTCTTGGTAAAACTGATATTTTTGCTGCCTGCCTACATATCTACTGATAGCAACACTTTATCTTTTCATGGAGAGGCTCTGGGAAGGCTGTCCTCCTTAGTTGCAGTGGTAGCCATGTGGCACGTTCTAGCCCTGGGCAGAGAATCCACTGGGTCAGAGAGATTGGTCTGAGGGTGAGCAAATGACCTAAGCTGGGCCAAGAGAAGCATGTAAGTACCTGTTTAGGTATTTTACCAAAATTTGGGCAAAAGGGGCATTTTTCCATTGACTGGCTAAACAGAATGTTAACTTTTTGGTCTTTCTGTCAATACTCTCAGAGAGTCTGCTTGAGAATAAAGTGAACAGAGTGAGGGAGGAGAGAAGAAAGGTGTAGAGTCCTATTAATATATTTTGAGCTCCTGGGTCTAGCTGTACCTGAATCTAGTGTCTCTGGATTTGAACTATCTTGTCCTTTGCGAATAAAAGACTCTTGGGAAAGGTAGGGAGCTGTGATGAGCTCCTAGGAGGTGATGCTAAGGCCAGGGCCCTTCCACCCCTAAATACACTGACCTTGACTTCCTGTTCCTGCTGGTGGGAGAGACATTCTCCAAAGCGACTCCCTTGTTCTGGGGTGAGGAGGTGGTGAAGGAGTTCCCTGAATCGGAGGTGTTGCCGCTGTTGAGGTCCCGGCTCTTGCTCAGACCCCCACCAGGGCTGCCCTTCTCCTGGCCCCGAGACCTGGCTGAGATGGTTTGTGTGGAGGGCGGTGAGGACGTGTCATTGCCTGAGTCGTACTCCTGGGAGCGCCCTCGCGAGGTGGTGGTGAGCGGGCTGGCTGTTTTGCTAAAGAGGTCAGCGGCAGACCCAGACCCAGTGATCTGAAAGCAAAAAGACCCGTCGGACATGGCTGAGCTCCAGGCTGTGTTTAAGTAACCAAGAATGTTAACCGTCATGATGCACTGTAACGAAAGCAAAGAGAGAGAGGGAAGAAGAGACGCCAAAAAACAAAAGCACAAATTCCTGAAAGAATACCACAGAAATAGGAGATTTTTTTTATTACCCCCTGCTAGAATAACTGGAAGATTTAGATATCATGCAGAGAAAAAAGCATGCGATTTAGATTAAACAAAAGTAAAAGGAAATTATACAAAATTTAATTTCTAATGAATAAACTCAAACAAAAGATACAACTCAATAGAAAGGGGAGGGGTGTAGACACCCTTAACCTCAAACAATAATAAAAATAAAGGAAGGGGGAAGGGGAAGAAAAGAAAAGGGACTATGGGCCTCAAAAATCATATCTCAGAAACTAAAAACGTAAAAGGAGATAAAGGCAAAATTTTATACTTCAACCAAATCCTCAATTATTGAATCTCTCTCTCTCTCTCTGTTTTTTTTTTAAAGAAAGAGTTGCCTAAATAGAACCCGAACAAATGTCACATGGGTAAAAGAAATAAAGATGAAAGTTTCTTTTTTTCTTAAAAAAATAAAGTCAAGGCCGCAAACTGACAAACTGACATGTGAGCAGTTTTCAACTACAGGGGCAAAGAAAGGAGAGGGGCAAAATAAATGTAAAGTCAAATAGTCTGACTAAAAACAAACAAACAAACAAACAAAAAATCTCTACAGGTATTTGTGCGTGTCCTTTTCCCCTTGTGGGAGGTAGCTAAGGATCTGGAGTGGCTTTTAATAAATTCTCTCATGTCTTTGCGGATTATATCCACTTACCAAGCAAGAACTCCTCCTTTAGTAGGTAAGGTGTAAGAGAAAGGGAAGAGCGGGCAAGGTGAGTCCATCATCAGAGTCGTAAATGACAAGAAAAAACACACACCTTTCTGTACAACCTCAACCGTGGCCCTAAACTTTGGGGTTTTGGGTTCTCAGTGCTTTGGATGGGTGCTTTTCTCATTCTTAGGATCTAACCTCGTTCACCTAGCCAATCCCTTCATGCCCAGGTTAAATCTGGGAAACCTTGACTGTACTTGTACCTGGAGCTATGGTGCTGCAGGGACCTAGCTATGTACATTTAGGGGACAATGGGGAGGGAGTTTGTTAACTGGGGGCTTTGAAAGGACCTCAGACATTTGAGAATGAAGAGAGGCCCCCAGAGCCTTGGAGGCTAGTCTAGGAAGATGGAGGAACATAGGAGGTAGCCCTTGGGAAGGCAGTACATAGTTTTCCTTAAACATTCAGACCAGAACATGGCTGGGGCACAGTGAGTTCAGTTCTGGTTCCTGACTATGGAACCATGCTTATCAGTGGGCAAAAGGGATCCCTGCCCCAGGCCTTTTCTAGCAATTTTGGGGAATGAGAAATCTGTGGGGTCAAGAGGTCACTCCCTGGAAACCACACCTCCAGACCACTCCAGGGCCCTTGGGATACCAGAAATCTCTGTCAAAAATGGTTCTCAGGCCCCCTTCTGGGGTCAATGGTTCCTCAGTGGATCTGTTTTTCCCTCAGCAAACCATGTCTCAGGTAGGCCATCTGGGTAGAGCTTGCATGATCAGGCTGAGGTATCCATGTGTCTAATGTGTAGAGCCCATCACAGTGTTAGATGGTGACAGATGGAAAGCAAAGAGAGGAGCCAAAATCTTGGGGCAGATTCTCACCCACTGTCATGTTGTGTCTTAGAGCTTAGATGGGCCCGAGATTCTGAATTCAAAGCTGACTTTTAGATCGCCACGAAAACATGTTTGGCAAGGGGGGTGGTGGGCATACTTTATTAGGTTTGCTGACTGTATTTATGAGCATTTAGACACTTAGGTAGTACAGGCCTCCTGTAGTCAGGCCCTGGGCCTTATACATAGTAGAATGAGCTTCCCATTAAGAGCCTGCTTTCCCCCAACCTTGTCCCCTGCTCTGTGGGCTTGGGAGAGGTAGGACTCCTGAACTTTCTTAGGAAACTCTGAGGAAAGATGTAGATATCAGGAAATATAACAGCCACTGAAAGAACTCCAGCAGCTCATAAAGACAGCTCCCAGGGTCAGGAGGTTGAGCTTCATTTATGAATTCTCCCAGGAGGCTTTGCACATGGGCAAGGTAATGGTACAGCTTTAGCAAATTCTCTCCAATGAAGCTACTGCTTCACAAACTTCGTGGTAATCTGGCCAGCTTTGCCTTGGAGTTGGGACATCAAAATAAGTTTGCCCAGGTAGAATTTCCTGCAATGAGACCTCTTATCATATAATATACAGGAGTTCCCATTCAGCTCCTCTTATTTATTCTCTAGTTTGAAGTTTGGATGCTTTTTCTTTCCCACCTCTGAAGTCCAATGTACCATGTACACTTCCTCAACCACCTCTGTCAGGAACAAGAAACCATCATGACTAGAAGGCAGGCCTAGGGCCTGAGCTTCAGGCTGAGGCTTTGGCCAGGAAAGAGTTCAAAGGATCTTTGCGTAGAATGATTGTTGGGGTGGTCAGTGAATAAAAATGAATTAGGTAAGCCCATTTTGGAAAGAATGAGGCTGGCAGAGTTCAAGATCAGGGCCTGGGAGCTCAGTAGTTTCTAGTAACTCCTGGCTTGCTACCTGAAGCCTCTGGCCTGGGCCCTTCTATTTAAGTACTCATTCATCGTGTTGACTACTCATTTCAAAGCATCTTTTCCATGGTGCATCATGAGTCCCCATAGGCAAAGAGTGTGAGGTTTCTTGAGGCTGAGGGAGATGGAAAGGAGACCTTGTTTTACACACATTATCTACCCACACCCTGAGCACACAGGGATATTTTCAAAGCATCTCCACTTGGTTTCATGAGTGGATTGCGTGGTTGAACCTGAGATTGCTACGTGAGTTGTGTTTTCTGTTCATCCCAGGAAGCAGAGATAGAGGTCTTACTGAAATGCCCTCACTGGGTGACAGCATCAGCATGCCTGAACATACCATAGCCTCTCCTGCTTGTTTTAAAGTCCCATTTCTTTGGCTATATCTAAGCTAGTTGACATGATTTACAGTGTTCATTACAAGGCTTTCCCCACCCACTCCATAAACAAGCCCAGGAAATCTCACAAAACGTTCTTCCGCACATCCCGAAGTGGCTCCCATAACCTGAATATTCTTTCTCTCTTTCTCCCCTACTCTTATTATCTTTTCTCATCCCCAGACCAGGATAGCACAATACTCTGTAACCCATCCATCCATCCATCCATCCATCCATCTGTCCACTTATCCACTCAATCTTTCAGTTACCCACTCACTCCAGATTGGATGCCTTATTACTCAGTGGAGTTGTTGCCTATTTTATTGCCTGTCTCTCCATCTGCTAGCTGAGGGAAGGAACCATGACTGGTATAATGTTATATCCCAGGACCCTATGGTCCCCAGCTCAGAGTAGCATCCTAGCAAATCATATTCAATGAACCAAGTTCTTTCACAGTCCCGTGGGAGACTTGGTGGGTGCATCTTAACTTCAGTGGACCCATCTAAGTGGAGTCTGCTTGGATGACTACCAGATTTAGGGATTTGATGATTTTTAAAGAAGCAGCTGGCTTCTATCACACTAAAAACAGCTTCACAAAACTACTGGAGTCTTGAGGGCAGCTTAGGGCTGGGTGTGTTAGCCAGAGAGAGCCTTGAGGGTCAAGGACTAGGACCAAGGCCAAGAGAAGGAACTTTCCCTGTTGCTTATCTCCCTCCTGGCACCTCTCAGAATCAGGGCACTGAGAAAAACACTCAAAGGCTCTGTCCTCATGCTCTCAACAGCATGCGACAGTCATAGAGCCCTTCATATGGGACAAGCTCTGATGGGCCTCCTGGCTTCCTTTTCCTTTGCTCTGCTGCTTTGGAAGGTCAGGTTGAAAGAGGAATTGACACCTGGCAATTTGTACACTTGGGGTTGCTAGCTCGCATGCTGAATTTGTTCAGAAAGGTGCTCCTTCAGTTTGAAGGATCTTTTTAAAGGCATCTCCTTTGGCCAGACAAGTTAGAAAAAGATATATACCCTTATCTAGGCTAAAGCAATCCAACTCTCATCAATATTTAGGGCTTGGTGAGTGGAGGTTCGGTGGGGTTTCACTGCCCACTTGCTTCTTGCAAGGATATAGTCAGCACCATGTAACATCCCCATTGGATACTAATGATGCATGTTCAACTTTGTCTGACCAGCTGCTTAGAGGACACTGTAGCAGGCAGACATAGTCATCAGAAGACCTTCATTTCTTCTTTGTCCAGCTGAACACTGTCCTGTTTTGTATTTATGTCTTGACGGACTCTGTTTACACTTCCAGGTAGGAGAAACATTTTAATAAACCTATTACTAGAGACATCTGTGTCCTTTAATAGGTTCCTAGCTCCAGGCTCCACTTTCTTCAGAGCTCCCGATTCACTCCAGAAGAAGAGAGAAGACAGTGAAGAGGAGCCAAAGGCAGAATGAGTGTGTTCAGGAGGGGGGGGGCAGGTGCAATAGGGAAATGCAAAGAAGACATTTGAGTCATGAACACTGTAATGGGCAGCAGTGGAGGTGCCTTTCTTCTTGCCTCTGTCTTCCCATCTCTCAGCATCTTCATAGCCAGAAACAGTCCCTGTGGCCCTCAGGATCCAAGCCGTTCCCACTCAACAGTGTCATGATTTGACAGCTCCCATTTGCTCCTCTTTGACACATTGTTGAGATAATAGACCTCTCTGAATTCGTCTTTGAAGAGCTCTTCTTCATCTGTTTGGGGCTTCTGTGCATGCAGTAGCTCTCTGATCATGTACAACTGACTGTACAATGTTCCCCAAGTCCCTCACTGGCAGAAGTTATCATAGATCCATCACTATCCAATAATAATGTCTTCATAGTGCTTAGGATCCCCAGAACCCTCACACTAGGTCTGTCTTCTTTGGTCTACTGTCACCTCTTCCTCCACTTAGCCCTAATTCTTCCTATCCTGTTTTTATAAA